CCCTTGGGGTTATGTTTAATGCAAACTGTGCATTGTTTACAAAACTGTTTTAAATAAGCCTCTAAACCTATTGTGAAAAAGAATTTGTGAATTATTTCAATCATCCCCCCTGTCGACACGTGGCAAAGCCCATGTGTCGAAATAGCTGCAGCGTGAAAAAGAGATCTAGGTAGGATAGGTTTGTTCTTAATTACCCAAAACTGTGTTTTAATGGCACCCCTGTTCAACCATGACTTTTTCTCACTTCGAGGTGCATGTTCTTGTGTTGATGAGAGAATGTCTGAATCTATTTCAAAGTCAGTGTGTGACAGGAAATGAGAGTGTGAATGGTGTCCAGCAGCTGCAGCCTTAGCAGTAATGTCGGCAAGGTGATTACCCATACTAATCAAGTCTTTCCCTCCTGTGTGTGCAGCACATTTGCAAACAGCTAATCGTGAAGGTAGCATTATCTTGTGCAAAAGTTCTTTTAGTAATGTTGCATGTGTGACAGGCTTGCCTGTGGAAGTGGTCATGCCCCTTTGTTCCCATTGTTTAGCAAAATAAAACAAAGTGGAGAAAGCATACTGGCTGTCAGTATAGACGGTAACTTCTTTACCCTCGCCTAACCGAAAAGCCGTGGTGAGAGCGATGATTTCTGCAGCTTGAGCAGAGAAATGTCCTGGGAGCTGTTCAGCACATATGACAATATCAGGGAGCTGTACCACAGCAAAACCAGTTAGATTCTTTCCATCAGGGGCCTTAGAAGAGGAACTATCAACAAACCATGTTGGACCTGTCTCAAGGGGCGTGTCCTGCAAATCAGGACGAGGAAGCTGGAGTTTTTCAGACAGGTCAACACAGTCATGTGGTGTACCATCAGTAGGCAATGGCAAAAGAGTGGCAGGGTTTAAAACATTACATCTGTGAATGGTAATGTGTGGTTGTGATAACAAAAGAGCTGTGTATGTGATTTGTCTTGCTGGTGACAGTGAGGTGAGACGGCTTTGCAAGAGAAGGATGTCAACCGCATGTGGAACCATAAGCTTCAGTGGATGGAACAGCAAAACATCAGCAGATGCCTCAACTGCCACAGCAGCTGCACACACCGCCTGAACACAAGGGGGCAGTGCCCTAGCC